TGTGTTTTCTTATTAAAGGAACTGCATGTTTAAGGAATGAGGCTCCCTAGGGAGAGGTGGATCACTTTGCTCTGCTGTGTTCATCTCAGCCTGGTAATTCACCTAGAAATGGCAGGGCAGCTCTAAGGGTAGGAGGGGTTGTTTCAAAAGAATTGTGTGAGGATCAAAGAAATATGAGGGACTGAATGGAAATGTCGCAACGAAGGAGCAAGAGAAAGGACACACAAATACCATTATCAAACCAAGCACTTCCTTTACTTTTATGGTGTATGTGTGAGGGAAGCCAGCTTTTCATACCAGGAGTGGCTCCTTTGATTGAGGCCATGTACCTCAATCCAACATGAAGGCCTGGAGTGGTTCTGAAAACCACAAGCATCTCCTCTGCTGGTAGAGGCTTAGCTAATCTTCATGCTACTAGTGTTAAGAAAGCGTACTCAATTAGAGAAAGAAAAAATGTCATTAATAGATTACGTCTACCTTCTGGCACGTTGGAGAGACTGTATTGCTAGCTAAAAAGGTGACATCTTAGTTCACTTACCTTTTGTCTTCGTTCTTCCTCTTTCCTCTTCTGATTCCTGACTACTACTAATGCATATTCCTCACATAAATTCAACTCTACTGAACAACCGGACAAGAGCTTCAAATAAATGGTCCACGTAGTAACTCCGGCAATAGAGTCACTGCTCTTGGGTTACTAAAACCCCACATCCACTCAGAGCTACCGAATGCAATGGTCTGTGGGTGATGGCCAACAGCCATCTTCCGGTCACTTACCCTGCGGTGGTCACAGCAGACATAGATCATTACACACATGAGCTAGAATCTTCCAGAGTTCAGTGGGTCAAAGATGCACTGGCTGTGAGCAGGACATGTTGGTGTTCCCAGGGTTGCTGAAACCTGGTCTGCTCCAAGAACTCCGTTGGAGCAGCCCCGCGGCTATCTGGGAGTCACAAGAGATTGTTGCTAGCCAACACAGACACCAAAGGGAGCAGACACCCATCAATAGAAAAAAATAACTTCTTTTTATTTACAAAACAAAAAAAATCCAAATATTGGATTCTGTAAACAAAATTCACAATCTGTTCCCTCTAGCTCTGATTCAAACATGTCAGTTTTCTTTTAAGAGTCCATTTTCCATCCATTCTATTTCTGCCTGTGGCACACGACAGTCGGATTCCAAGACAGTGAGCCCAGGTGCAGTCTGCTGTAGTTAGGACTAGGACTCTGAGCAGGTGTGGCTGTGGAGAGGTGGGAGGAAAAACAGCCAGCAGGGCACAGTTCCCTCCGGTCCAGTCCAAAAACACATGCACCAAGTCTCTCCAAGGGACTCCAACATCTTCCCGCTTTGTGCTTTTACCACTTACTTCCTTAGCAAGCCATTATAATAACAAAAGATTAACATAGAGATTGTCTCATAGCACTGAAAGGCTATGCTCAAAAGAAATCTGAAAGAAAGATTATATTCAAACAGGTGCTATATATGAAATCACTTTTTTTTGGCTTTTTGGTTTCATCTAACATGTTTTTGTTTTCAACAACAATAACAAAAAAAGCTTATTTTTGACAGCTGTTGACAGCTTTCAACATAACACGTTTCATTTACAAAAGAGTTCACAATATTTATTTAACAGCCTTGCACTGAAAACAACTTTATGCACAATAAAAAGAACCAACAATAAGCAAAACAGAAAGGGGTGGTAAAAACTGTACGTTGGCTTTTCACTTTGTTTCCTTCTTAGCTTGGATTACAGATATCCTGCTATCCTTGCATTTTTTGTTTTGGACCCACACAAAAAATAGTCCATCCAATCTCAAACCGAGCAGATATTTGATCCTATTTCTGGAAGGGAAAAGTCCGTTTGGGTGTTAAAAGAGTTCTTGAGGCAGTTGGAAATTACTACTGATGAAGTAAACTTTTTTTAGAGGGCACTGCCACAGGCTAAAGGTTCTCTGATATGCCGGACTGGGCAGGTGAGAAATGCGTCCAGAAGACAAAACTTCTTCCTGTTTCGAAGTAACAGCACACTAGGCCAGATAAACACGGAAGCAAACAAAATCACAGGCACTAATCAGGAGTTGAGAGCTCTTGTGGTTTCTTTTTTCTGACCTATATACATGGCTCTCTCTCTCTCTCTCTCTCTCACTAGACATTCAAATTTTTAGGCCACACATCCACAAAGATACAGATATACATATATATCTATCTACATAGATAGATAGATATAGATATATCTCCCACTGTGTTCAACTACATATGCACAAGACTATAGTACATACAAAATAGAAATAAATTATATTAAGTCTTTAAGTGCATATAGAAAATTGTCTCCTGGAAAGCCTGTTCTATCTGAATGCTAGGTGTATGGCACTTCCAACTAAGCTAACAACCCTGAAGTCAGCAAGAAAAGAATATAAATATTGGAGAACATAAATGAAAAGTCCTATTTGCAAATAAGGCTCCTTCCACCAGAGGGAAACAAAACCTGTCATAAATGAACGGCAGAGCCTGAGATCTCTAGACTCCTCACAATAGTAGACAAGTCATCTGTCCATACTGAGGGTGGGAAGGAAAGCAGGTGCACAGCCGAAGTTCCTCTGATCATCGGCATTCCTTAGTTTTCTCTTAGAAAACTTCCCAATAGCTAAGAAGGTGGCGCTGTGGTTTCTGACAGGATCAATCTGTGAGCTGAATAGTTTCCTAGGGATTTTGTGATTACGTTTTTTCAAACTCAGGAGACTGAGTGAGGGAGACTGTGCCAACTTAAGAGTAGGAAGGGCTCCCCCCCCCAAAAAAAACGTGAGTGGCAGTGGAGGTGGCTGTGATAGACCAGAGGGAATTCACAGGGAAGCTGCTACAGCAAACTCAGCGGCTTCCGGTTAAGGCTTCAGAGATGCACAAAAGGCAGTTCAGATAGATTACTCAGGGTAACCAACACTGAAGAGCAGAGGGATGCGCAGATGACAAAGAAACAAACCCATCATCCTGCCAAAGCAAGGATGCCATTTCCTTTCCTGGTGCCTCTCTTGGTTTGATGACAAGAATCTTCTGGGTGGGCCTTCAAAAGAATGAATAATAAGCAATGCTCTGCTAGGGTTGGTGGGGATCCTATGGTTGCTTCGTGACATGAAGGGGACGTTTTGATGAGTGTTCGTTTCTTTTAATGAACAATATTTTCAGAGACCAGTATTCTAGAGAGAAGAGCTGGAACTGAAAAAAGTGCTGCTATCAGCTCATTTAGCAAAGATATTTATGGTCTTTTGCCAAAGGGAGAATAAAGTTGGGTTTGGTTTAATGCAAAGTGATTTAATTTAAAGTACAGTACTAAATACTTAAATGCAGTGTGACATCCCAATCAAAGATGTTTCATATTGGCATAAATTTATAAAACATCATATATAATATATATCTCATAATATAAACTTTATGCAATTGTGCAAATACTCTTTAAAAAGGGTCATTTCACATTTACTAAATTCTAGTGGTCCAGAAATGCAGAATGCATTCATTTATAAATTCATTTAAATACTAATAAGTAGTGTTCAGATCACCAGAAATTCTTGTTAGCAGTCAGGGATTTAAGTAGCCTATCATCTCCACGCTCCATGAGTTGCATACCTTGGAGTATGCAATTATTCTCCTCTAATGGTTTCAAGCTGTCAAAATGCTATCAATATAAGAGTGCTCTACCAAACAAATATTCAATATGGAATTCTCTGGCTCACAGAAAAAAAAAAGACAAAAAACTCACTAAAAATTATAATCTCTTCTTTTCCTATAAATATATTATTTGTTTCCCTCCTTCATTTTTTTAGATGTGGGTTCTAATTCATCATTGCAATATGCCCTCTCATGTCATCCTACTGCAAACATTAAAGCACACAGTATTTTAAACATTTCCTACTTGACATATTGTTTTAGGTCATAGCCAAGGTAGTATGTGTACATATATATACATTATCATCTGTACATATGCATACACACACACAATACACACACGTACCTAGGACAACATCACACTGACAATATCAACTTTATACACATATTTGCCAAAAGAAAAAGTAGGGCATTTCCTCCACCATTCACAAGCTTCTATGTTGTTTTATTTTCTTCTTGATTCCCTGATAAAATAATCATTAAACCATAAAATAATTTTCCACTTCAAATTTTCAGAAAGCAACAGGCACTTTGATGTATACTGGTATGTAACAAATATAGTGACTCTTTCATATATATGTATGTATATGTATATACATACACATATATATATATATTCTATGTCTCTTGTACTTGGGAATTTTTATCTGTGAAATCTTTGGTCCTTGAGCATATTTTCTTTGCTACAGCTGCTTCTGCTGGCATTTCCACATTTTAAAAATGCGAGCTATGCATGCAGCTGGAAAGAATGCATCGTGTCATCCTCAATTCTTCTGTTCGTTACAAGAAGGGCACCAACCTGCATTCCTGCTCATCCGATTCCAGGCTGAATGAGAACCACTCCACAGAGAGCACTTGCTAGCAAGTCTCAGAGAGTAATCCCAGTCTTGGAGTTCTTCTTCTTCCTAGACTGTGACTCTGTGAACTCCTGAACTGGTACTCACAGGGTGCAGAGAGACCTTTCCTCACTCCCTCTAGTCTTCCCTTTGTGAATTCCATCTTGAAAAGTTTCTCTACCAGTCCCCCTCCCCCCCACACACACTTTGGCAAAGCTATGGGAAGCGATTGCTACAAACCCATATTGTCATCGACCATTTCCTCCCCTTATCTTGGGAAAACCTGGTTGCTTTTAATGTCAGGTCTTCCTTGGTTTCAAGTTAGAATCCAATTGGGGATGGGGATGGGAGGTTGGGGGGGGAGTGATTGGTTTGGCATCATGCTCTCATACTAATGAAGAGATCCCGAAGTTCTGCCTAGCTTAAAATCAGGAGCATATCACTGTACAAAAGCACATCCCTATTTAGGGAAGTCACCCCGTTAATTTTTTTTCCTTCTTCCCCCCCATTCTTGTCTGCAATGGCTTCCCCACCGGGTATATTTTTAACTGATTCTTAATTACAGGGTAGCCATGTAGAGTAGGTCTGCTGCTGGCATGTGAATACTGGCTGAACCTGGGCGATGTAGTAATTGCTAAAGTTAGCATCTGCTACATAGGGGGCTGGCTGGTAATAGCAAGTGACATTGGCCACATTGGGGATGACATTCTGATCAGCAAGCACCCGGATGGCCAGCATGGTGATGAGGTTTAAAGTCTGTCTTCTCTCATGTCCCATCAGACACACGGTACTCTCATTCACCACTCCGTGAAGGGTCATCAAATACTCGTACTTGCGGTCTTCCAACCCCACGAAGTGATTCTGCAGATAGGATTCCAGTTTCCTCTGCTGCTCCCCAATGTCTGAGAAGTCAATGAAGAACCTGGAACACATGTACCTTTGCAGGGTCTTGATCTCCTCTGACGCAGGCCGGAAGCCCCTCACCAGCAGGTTGCAGTACTTAAGCAGGCCGCCCCCTCGGATCTCTTCCGGGTTTCTGGTGGCAATGATTTTGTTACAAAGGTGATCAAAAGCTTCCTGGAAATCGCCATAGACACTCTCCCCGATGATGGTGGGGTGGAATGTTTCAGTCATGGGGTTCTCTGAGCATTCATAAAAGAGGAGAAGAGAGTCTAACTTGATTTGAAAAGAATCTACACTGAATTCAAACTGCCTCCGCAGGGAATCCACAAATTTCAGTTCCACGTTTTTGCCACTGTTGTTGGACAGGGAGATGAGACTCCACCGGTCAGAGTCATTGCACACTTTAACCATTTTCTGCACATAAGCCTCCTACAATTGAAGAGATAAAACAAGAAGATGAGCAAACCCAGAAAAAAGAAACCCATCCTCTCCCCAGCTGAGAATTATTCTGCCTTTCCTTTTGGTTTTGTCAAGTTTTGGCAAAACACTACCTAGCAAGCAGCTTCGACAGTCTTCCGAAAACAGAAGGGGGAAAAAATACATTTAACGAGTAGTTTTACCGTCTGGGAAAGAGACTGGAAGTAATAGTTTGAGGCTTTTGGCAGACCTAGCAGAGTACTAAGAGGTTCTGTTGTCATGTCTGACTTTTTAAATGTTATTTTTTTAAAACTGGTCTAATAGGCATAATGTCCACACTGCAATCCACACACTATTCAAGACGCCGAGGGGCAGATGGTGATAAATGACTCTACCCCTCACCTCATCCCTGGTCACCCGCGTCCCCTCCCGTGGGGAAACCAGCGTTGTCTGGTGACTCTCAGGAGGACACAGCGAAGGTCCAAGGGGAACTAAACTGTTTCCAGACAACACCACGTTAGATAATCACATAAAACTCGACTTCAACTGAACGGTGAGTGTGTGTATCGAGCGGAGCCCCCCCCTCTCCAAATGAACCCATGCAGATGATAACCACCACCGACATAAACCCTTCCACACACCACCGAGTCAGCTGAACCCGGTGACGAAATGGATTCACATTTTCCAATACAATAAAAATCCCATGGACTCAGTTCTGCTTCAGGCTGCGATTTTCCCAAAGAGTAGCTCATAAAATGCCTCGAGGGGGGGGGAGAGGAGAGGAGGCGAAGGGAGGGGAAGGGAGGGGGGAGAAAGGAGAGGAGGGGAGGGGAGGAGAAAGGAGGGGAGAGGAGGGGAAAGAATAGGAGAGGAGGGGATGGGGGAGAAAGCAGAGGGGAGAGGAGGGGTGAGGAGGGGAGAAGAGAGGACTGGAGGGGAGAGGAGAGAAGAGAAAGGAGAGGAGGGGAAAGGAGAAGAGAAGGAAAGAGCCATTTCATTCTTCCCCTGACCAGTCTCCTCTGGGCACCACTCCAGCTAGGAAAGCCAAGGGTTAAAACCATGAAGGAAAAGGAACCAAAAAGACAGGCAAAGGAGGAAGCAAGCAGAGCTGCTGCGCACTGAGCTCCCAGAAAAACTAAGCCACTGGCCACCTCCTCCACGCACCTTAAAAGTTCACGCAGGAAGAAAGTAAGACATGAATCACGAGAGTAGCAGGAATCACAATTCACGGTGATAGTAAAGATCAAAGAGCGGGGCCGGCGCGTGGCAACCTCTGCTGCGCCCCCCCCCGCCCCGTATCCCCCGCACCCCCGCGCGCCCCGCACCTTGAGCGTGAGCGGCGTGATCTTCTCCTTGTTCACGCCCTCGGGCAGGAAGTCCAGCAGGCAGTCGAGCACCGCGTCCTTCACCGTCTGGAACTCCTCCTCGCCGCGCAGGTCGGCGCAGAAGATGAGGTCCAGGTCCTTGTAGCCCAGGCCGCTGTCCTGGTGCAGGACGTGGCTGGCGGCCGAGCCGTTGAGCCGCACGTCGCGCACCCCGATGCGCCGCTCGGCCAGGCGCCGCCGCACCACCTTCACGATCAGGCTGGGCTGCAGCTCGAGCGTGGGGAAGTTGCCGCGCCCGTGGATCGGGATGGTCTCGCTCAGAATGCCGTCGAGCCGCCGCACCTGCTCCCAGCTCAGCACGGTGCAGTGCGCGCGGGGGTCGCCGTCCGGGCCCGCGGGGGGGGCGTACGCGCCGCCGGCCAGCTCGGCCTCTGCCATGGCGAAGAAGCCCGCGCCGTCCGCCGCCAACGGCCCGCCGAGCGCCGCGGGGCCCTGCTCGGTCCTGGGGAGCCGGGACGGAGGGGGGGAGAGGAGGTGAGCGGCGTGGGGACCCCAGGGTGCCGACCGCGCCCCCCCCCCCCGATCACCCCCCTGCCCGAGAGGCCCCCTCCCCCCACCCCACCGGACCCCGCCGATTGCCCCCCTCCCCCGCCCACCCCGCAGACAGCGGCCCCGCACCAGAAGTAGCGCTGATGCATCTGGAAAGCGCAAGCCAGTCCCGTCCGGGTCACCTGGAGGCGGCCGCCCCTTCCAGGAGCGAGGCGGGCGGGCAGGCGGGCGAGGCTCCGCGCGGCGGCGACGCTGCCCCTGCGGG